CTCACAGAGGAGGGAGAGCTTGTAACTGAGGCGGGCCGGGGGGGGGGGCTCTGCAACTTACCTGGCTACTTCTTATGCCTCGTGGTCCAACTGAGGGCTGCTGGGAGCAGGGGGCGGGGCTTCTTGAATGCACCCGCCTCCTTGGCTCCTTACTGCCGGAGCTCCGCTCCTGCGCGCTCCTGCAGGAAATGACCCCTGGGCAGACAACATACCCTTGTCCATCCTTAACTGTTGCCCTGCTCTGGCTGTTCCCCATCTGAAATCTGGAGATAGTGATACAGGGTCATTATGGAAGCAGAGAGCCAGTGCAGTATCGTAGTTAAGACTGTTGGACTAGTACCTGGGAGACCCAAGTTCAAGTCATCACTCCTGCCAAGTTACACCCTCTCAGTCGAACCTACCTCACAGGGTTGATGTAGGGATACATTGGAGGAGAGAACAATTATGTAAGCCACTTTTGGTCCCCCATTGGGGAGAAAAGCACGGTATAAATGAATTCAATAAATAATAAATCAGCAGGTCTACTTAGAAGTAAGGCTGATTTTATTCAGTGGGGCTTACTCTCTGGAGAAAAATAGGATTGTAGCCAAAAACATCCCCATTTTCAGCTTAATCAAGGTTGCATTACCATCTCCTGATCACAGTACGGTTCCTTCCAGCTCCCGAGAGCAAAACGTGTTGGAATATGCAAGGTGTATAGTGCAGCCTTATGAAGAAGATCTGAAGATCATCCAACAGGGGGTCTGCTGAAGGACTGGTAGATAGCATAGCTAGGCTAGGGACTTCCCACTTTTTCAAAATGGGTCCTTGCTGTCTCCTGATTGGCTCTTCCAGAGACTTCCTGCTCCTGCAGAGCTTCTTTCTTGTAGTTCCTCTCCAGCAGTTAGGCAGATAGTTAGGGCTCTGTCTCTTCTATGTTCTATCAAAGTTTGTTTTTCTTTAATAAACCTACTTATTTTTCTCTAAACAGTCAGTGCTTCACTTCTTTTGCGTATTTAAACTGTGCCAACAAAACATACATTGATATATGAAAGAAGTCATGTTGTGGCCTTCTTTCATAGGACCAGTTCTAAAATGGTAGAGAGAGTCACTTAAGTAAAGCTTTCCTGGCTCTTCCCAGTTTGGCCTTTATTTGAATGCTCTTTTCACAAAAACAAACTCTCTTATGGGTTGAGAGTTAGCGTATTAGGTTGGAGATGAAACTGAATGTTGCCTTTACTTGCTAATTTTATGTGAGCAAGGAGTTCTTGGGTCAGAGCGTCCAGACATTCAACTCTCTATCTGCAGCTTTATATGGTAAAGTCCAGGCAAAATCTATTAATTGAAGCATGTTTTTTTCCTGACGTCCTCCTGCAAACTCCTTTCTCCCATGCCTACAGAAATGTCATAACCAAAGAGCTTCTAGCTACTTAAATATAATTATGTTTTATCAAGTCAAAGATACCAGAAACCCAAAGAGAATTCTAATTAGGAAAACCTTGGAGAAGATATTACACTGACCCTAGCTAATCTCAAAATATATTCCAGTGTCAATATGCTAGCTAAAGCTCCTAATTTTATTCTCCGTCTGCTAAATTTTCCATGTTACTGTTCTTTGGTATGTCAAAATGCAATTCTCTCCCCCCCCCCTTAATGCTTTCTCTTAAAAATTCTAAACATCTTCAAACTTCTGCAGGTCTGTTTCTAAATTAGTTGGACAATATTTCACTGAAAAGAGGGTTGCGAATAAAACAAACAAAAATTGTGGCTGACCTTATTGTTATCATATATCTCTGTAAGACTGGTGCTTTTACTTATAGCACTGACTAAATATGGCATGAGATAGTCTGAGAAAACTGCCTCTCCTGGAAAAGGAATTCATCTACTTCATTTCTACCCCACTTTTCTCCCCAAAGGGGATCCAAAGTCGCTTACAACATTCTCATCATCTTCATTTTATTTCACAACAGCCCTGTGAGGTAACGTATGTGACTAACCCAAGGTCACCCAGCAAGCTTGCAGGCAGAGTGAAGATTCAAAACTGGGTCTCCCAGAGCTTAGTCTGAAACTCTAGCCACCACTACATCATGCTTTGTACCACAAAGAACTTAAATCTAGAAGCAAAACAGTAAGATGAAAAAGTACAAGTTGTCCTTCAAGTCTGAGGTGATCATTCCTGACATGGTGTGAAATTGCAATATAATTCCAAAAACACCACAGTCTCAAAAAAAAAATATTTAAAACTGACACACATGGAGCTGCCTTATACAGATCATTGGTCTATCAAGGTCACTATTGTCTACTCAGACTGGCAGTGGCTCTCCCAAGGTGTCAGTCAGGGCAGAGGTCTTCCATATTGCCTGAATTGAACCAGGGACCTTGTGCATACAAAGCAGAGGCTCTTCCACTGAGCCACAGCCCCTCCCAAAGTGACAAAAATGACTTCATCTTAAATCCTCATCTGCATTTACACTATTAGAGAAGGGCCCATGGCTCTGGGACAGAGCTTTTCATATGTAAACCCTGCAGATTTTTTTGATAGGGAAAGCTGGGAAAGGCCTCTACTGACCCTTTGGAGAACTGTTCATAGAGTAGAAACAGTGGATTTGAGAGCTCAATAGACAGGCTCAGGGTAAGAATTTACACATTGTAATGAAGTAATCACAGACATTTGCAGAGTAGAAGTCTCACATTTCCAGTCTATTGCTGGGTAATTTCAAAGAATGAAAGCACTTGTTTCTATTGTGGTATTGTCTTTTATTTTCAAAGATTGCAGTTGAATAGATCGTTTATTTATTATGTTTTTACCCCACCCTGCCTCAGGACGTATGTGACTAACCCAAGGTCACCCAGCAGTTCAAGGTGGTTAACACCATTCTTTAGTCCTCCATTTTATCCTCATAACAGCCCACTGCAAGGTGGGTGAAGTTGAGGTTTGTTTGTTTGGCAGAACAAGCCTTATAACTGTCCACTAAATCTACCCACTGCAACTATGGAATGGCTTGCCCTTGTTTATTTCTTATTGTTCATAACCTCCAAAACTGCAGGAAGAGGCAGAGCTAGCAGAGAACCATTCCTAATGCCATGTAATTTTGGAAGTTTTTTCCTATTTCATAAAAGTTCCTTATGGCCTCTTCCATTAGGGGAGAGTGTTCAATTGCCAACCTCCAGGCAGAGTCTGTGGATCAAAGTACAACTGATCTCCAGGTGACAGAGATTAGATCTGGAGAAAATGGCAGCTTTGGAGGGTTGACTCTGTGGCATTATACCTTGCCGAGGTCCCTCCGCTCCACAAATGACACCCTCCACGAACGACATCCACTCCCAAATCTCCAGGAATCTCCCAACCCAGAGCTGACAATGCTAGGAGATTGGCATACGAAAACATGATATGCTCAGGAAATAAGAGGGCATATCACTGTTGTAATTTTGTCTTTTCAGAATGGCCTCTTACTCCCTCCCCCCCAGGTTAGGGCAGAAAATGCTGGGTTTTGTTTTCTTGTTGCCTGGGGTGACCACGCCACAAACAGCAGATGGAATTAAAAGACAGGATTCGAGAGACATTTACGGCGTTCATGCCTTGTAGGAACATGAGATAAGAATGCAAGCGTATTAATTATAAATGCTGTTATTGTATTTTCCCCTTATCTTGCACCTGTTACCATTTATTATAAAAGATTACATGAAATGCTCAAAGGTGATCCTGGGATGTAGCACAATTTCATTGAACTGGCTTAAAAAAAAAAAAAAAAAAAGCAAGCAATACTGGTAGTTTCTACAGGGCAAAGGGGCTCAGCATTTTGCCATTCAACCAGCTGTTATGAGTGATCCTGAAGTTCTTTTTCCTCCTGTTCCACTTAATAGATTTTATCCCCAAGACCCAAGAAGCAATTGAGTGTCAGGAACCACACTGGCAGTGCCATGCTTCCTAGGTACCCAACTGGGGTTAAGGTTGCCAGCCCTTCACTGCCAGCCAGCAGGAGATGGGGGGGGGTGTCAAAACAGTAACACCATGACATCAGTTATGGGTACTGACCCAGACGTGACATCACTACATTGTGTGATGCTCTAAGAATTTCCCCAGTCTCCGTAGATTGCATGACACCACTCTC